AAAACCGGTACTTGAAGTCCTTCAGAGGCTCTTTAATTCCGTCCTCCATGGTGGTTCTTCTCCGGAGGCGTGGAGCAGAAGTGCGGTGGTCTTGTTCTTCAAGAAATGTGACAACGCCCTCTTGACGAACTACAGACCGATATCTCTTCTGAGCCGCGTCTACGTGCTGTTTTAGAGAGTCGTTACGAATCGTCTCGCACGCAGACTCGACGACTTCCAGCCTCCCGAACAAGCCGGTTTCCGAGAAGGCTTTAGTACCATAGACCACATACATACCCTCCGACAAATTGTACAGAAGTCCGAAGAGTACAATCTGCCACTTTACCTGGCGTATGTGGACTATGAGAAAGCCTTTGATTCCGTCGAAATTCGGGCGGTGCTACAGTCTCTTCAGCGGTGCCAAGTTGACTGTCGGTATATTGAAGTGCTGAAGTGTTTGTACAGAAGGGCTACGATGGCTATCCGAGTACAGAACCAGAGTACGAAACCTATCCAACTGCAGAGAGGTGTAAGACAGGGTGACGTTATTTCTCCGAAACTCTTCATTGTAAGACGTTTTCAAGCTACTAGACTGGTAAGGATACGGTATTAACATCAATGGCGAATACATCACTCACCTTCGATTTGCCGACGATATAGTCCTAATGGCAGAATCGCTGGAGGACTTAAGCACTATGCTCAATGACCTCATTAGTGCCTCCCAACGCATAGGTCTTAAGATGAACATGGACAAAACAAAGATCATGTTTAATGTCCGTGTCACACCTATGCCGGTAGTTGTTGGGAGCACTAAGCTCGAAGTTGTTGACGAGTACGTTTACCTGGGACAAATATATGTAGTCCGGCTAGGTAAGTCCAACTTCGACCGAGAGGTCAATCGACGGATTCAACTCGGCTGGGCAGCGTTCGGGAAATTACGACACATCTTCTCGTTAGGTATACCTCAAAACCTGAAAACTAAGTTGTACAACCAGTGCGTGTTGCCAGTGATGACATACGGAACTGAGACGTGGTCCTTCACTGCTGGCCGTATGAGGACGCTCAAAGTCGCTCAGCGAGCTATGGAGAGGGCTATGCTCGGAGTTTCTCTGCGTGATAAACTTAGAAATGAGGATATCCACAGTAGAACCAGAGTGACCGACATAGCCCAACGGATTAGAAAGTTGAAGTGGCAATGAGCCGGCCATATAGCTCGTAGAACCGACAACCATTGGGAAAAAAAGGTTCTCGAGTGGCAGCCTCGTACCGGAAGGCGAAGTGTAGGGCGATGGAGTGACGACCTGGTAAGACATGCAGGAAGTCGATGGATGCAGGTGGCTCAGTACCGTGCTTTGTGGCATACCTTAGGGGAGGCCTATGTTCAGCAGTGGACTTGTAAAGGGCTGTAATGATGACGATATGTATATGTTCCGATTTTAGTAGCTCTATGATTAAATTTTTATAACTTCATTATGAGGCAATAAACAAAATATGAACGTCCACACTCAAAACGTGCAAAACTGTGGAATGGGTCACGTATAGATGCGTACTGCCATCGCTGGCCCACTATCTTTGATGTACGGCGGAAAAACCGACAACGTCGCAATCCCCAAGACCATCGCACGCGCCATAAGCTATCGGACACAACTACGCCCTCCACACGCTGACCCATCATAGTGGGCCATCGCGATGTAGTAGCTTTAGCAGTAGTAACCTTGAGTATTCAAACTCAAAGAGTAGTAAATGTCCCGAGACCACCGGACACAGAAGGAAACCGTATTAAGTGGCTCAAATTTCATATGAAATATCTGCAGTATTAATTGTAGATTTTTATTTCTATTGACCTTATTAGACATTAACCTTTTGAGCGCCAAAGTCGTCTATACGTGACCAGCACCCGCGGGCCCTGAGCGCCAACGACGTCTATAGTTGACAAAAAACCCGGCCCACAAAAATATGAAATATAAACATTGGAAAATTATTACTGGTATTTTAATTCTACACCCCTCAAAAAAGAATAACCCAGCAACATGTGAGTATAAAAAACAAGTCTCCGACCACAAGTACTAAGAAACATTGAACCAAAAAAAAATGGATTTATATCTAAGCAAATAATATGACCAGCACTCCAAAGTCGTATAAGTTTGACCGCTAGTGTTGTAATGCGTTAGGCATACATTTATTGAAAACTATTCAAAATTGAGCTCAAACGTGTTATTTTTTTCAAATTACCTTCGCATAAACTATACTAACTTTATGCGAAGGTAATTTGATAATTTTTTTTTAAATTCATGTAGCTAATTATAGTTAAATATCAATAATAAAAGAAAAAATAAACTGAAACTGAAACTGAAAACTATTCAAAATTGAGCTCAAACGTGTTATTTTTTTCTTTTATTATTGATATTTAAATAAAACAAAAGGTTAGAAATATAAAACTATAATTAGCTACATGAATTTAAAAAAATTTATCAAATTACCTTCGCATAATAAATCTAATATCTCAACTCTGGCGCATCCTTAGCGCGACATCGAAAATCAGTTCACCCCAGTAACTGACATGTCGGCGCCCACGCCGTGGTCAAGTATAGACGACACGCTGATGGCGTCATAAGCGATTAGCGGGAAAATTAGTGCAGTGCAACATGAACGATTCCTCAGAACTCATTCGGATTTTGGAAAGCGTCGACGATGATGAATTTTCGGAAATTTAAAATTATCGTGAAACCAAAGTTTTTCATTTTCGATTAACTCTACCTCAGTGAGGTAGGAATACACTTTATAGTCTTTTTACGGTTAATTTCTTTTTTATAGCATAGGGTAATAAACGAGCACACAGTCCACCTGATGGTAAGTGGTTGCTGTGGCCCATAGACATTTACGTCTATCCTCGATTACGAATCAAAATGCAGATGCGCTCTCACCCGTGAGCACTTAGATGGAATGCCTCGTTTCCAGTAAAGAGGGTCTCCGGTTCTCTACACTTACCATACGAAACACAGCAGCATTAAGCTACTATTTGACGCCGGTATTCCGTGAGAGCGTGGTTCTTCCCCCGGTTGAGCCGACCCATTCGTGCTACAACTACTCTCCCGTAATATAACTGCAGCATGGCTCTACCACGTTAGAAAATTTGCTTTGGACAGCTAAACATTTATGTTTTATTATTCCATAAGATTCTTATTATTTTAAGACTAATATTACCTATAATTTATTAATTATTTTTAATTGTTGTTTTCAATATTAGGTACTGATTGAGTTAAAGACCAAGATTTTAATATTTCAAGACTAGACCTAGTGCAAATAATTATTTACAATTGTTGATTAGTGAATAATTATGTACCATTTGTTGATTTCTGTAATAAGTACTGATTTTTTTATTCCATGACCAAGATTTTAATATTATAAGACTGATTTTTCTAGTGTGAATAATTATATACATTTGTTGATTGGTGGATAATTATGTACCATTTGTTGATTTTTATAATAATTACTGACTTTTATTCCATGACCAAGATTTTATTATTCATCATCATCATCATTACAGCCCTTTACAAGTCCACTGCTGAACATAGGCCTCCCGCAAGGTATGCCACAAAGCACGGTCCTGAGCCACCTGCATCCATCGACTTCCTGCATGTCTTACCAGGTCGTCACTCCATCTAGTGGGGGTCGCCCTACACTTCGTCTACCGGTACGAGGCTGCCACTCGAGAACCTTTTTTCCCCAACGGTTGTCGGTTCTTCGAGCTATATGGCCGGCCCATTGCCACTTCAGCTTACTAATCCGTTGGGCTATGTCGGTCACTCTGGTTCTACTGCGGATATCCTCATTTCTAAGTTTATCACGCAGAGAAACTCCGAGTATAGCCCTCTCCATAGCTCGCTGAGCGACTTTGAGCGTCCTCATACGGCCAGCAGTGAAGGACCACGTCTCAGTTCCATATGTCATCATTTAATTTTATAAGACTGATTTTAATATTATAAGACTGATTTTCCTAGTGCAAATAATTACCTATATACAATTGTTGATTAGTGAATAATTATGTACCTTTTCTATTTTAATAATATAAAATTACAAATAATAAATGTGTTTTCTTTACTTAAGGTATGAAGAGCAATTTTTCATTTTGTGTTGTGCGATTTTCTTTCTCAATCTCAAAATCATTTAGCAACATCAGCATCAGAATCATCAGCAAAACCCCCTTTGTCATAAGAGCGTAAGACTTTTCTTCTGTGATTCACTTGGCCTACGCCTCGCCATAAAATATTTTGAATCGATGTCTGTATATTTTGGTTAGATCGTTTTTGAAATCGATACACAACGTGCGACACGGCTACATCTCTATGAAAGTTTCAAAAAGAAAGGTCAGCTACGCCGTTGTCGTCCAGTCGTGACAGTGACGTCATCACGATGGAGAGTAGTGTTGTGGTTTACTACTATTTTATTGTAAATGTTTGTTTTTTATTTATGTACAAAGTACATATATAACAAGAGTGGAAGACAGCACAAGATTAAATAAAATATACCCGATTATAAAGAGTCATTTATTGTATAAAAACCAACAAAAACAAGTTATTTTGTGCTATCGATATATCAACTCTTGGCAGCACTGTTTTTTTCGTAGGTATTTTTATTTACTTTTCGCTTTGGCGTACAGGACACGGTAGTGAGTTTTTGGCTTGGTGCTCAAAAGGTTAAAAATTAGCTCATACAACATATTAAGGATCAAACTGTTTAATAATTAAGCTATAGCTCTTATTAGTTTGTGGCTATAGCATTTAGCTTCTTATTCTTCATTTTATGACAACACTTACCACCAAAAGTCAAAATTGAATTTGACACGACAAAACAAAGTAAAATTTATTTTGCTGGAGCAAAGAGCATAAGTTACATTCAAGTTTGAGATACAAGTTATAGTGAAAATTAAATATATTTACATTCAATAAAATGAGTTATTTTGTATATCTATGAAGACAGTATAAATTAAATATATTTAAATTGACGAAAAAAATAGTAGAATGGTGGGTTTTAATATAGAAGGCCCCACACGGGATCGAGTAATGAAACTTATTGAAGAAAAGGATAGAATCGAGAGCGAAATACGCGATCAAACTGCTATTCTGGAATCTAATAACGTGGACATGCACGTAACCTTGGTGGATAGTGAAGGCTTTCCACGTAATGACATTGATGTGTACAAAGTAAGACATGCGCGGCATCGTATAATTTGTAAGTAAAACATATACCTAGGTAACTATGACTAAGCAGTTTTGATAGTGAACTACATTTCTCCATACTTTTCCTGGGACAGGTGGCCTATTTCTAAAAGAAAGCTGCCTTACTAGATTACGAAGATGCTAGAAAATCCAAA